TCCACTATACCACGGTTCCCAAGTCCCTATCCAACCTGCCTTGAACACTTCCAGGGATGGGGCATCCGCATCTTCTCTGGACAACCTGTTCCAGTGTCTCACCACTCTCACAGTGAAGAATTTTTTCCTAATATCTAATTTATATCTACCCTCCTTCAGCTTAAAGCCATTACTCCTTGTCCTATCGCTACATGCCCTTGTAAACAGTCCCTCTTCAGATTTCTTGTAGGCCCCCTTGAGGTACTACAAAGCTGCTAGAAGGTCTCCCTGGAGCCTTCTCTTCTCCAGGCTGAACAGCCCAAACTCTCTCAGCCTGTCTTCACAGGAGAGGTACTCCAGCCCTCTGATCATCTGCGTGGCCTCCTCTGGACCCACTCCAACAGCTCCGTGTCCTTCTTGTACTGGGGACCCCAGAGCTGGACGCAGTACTCCAGGTGGGGTCTCATGAGAGCGGTCACACGTCTTTTGATGCAGCCCAGGATATGGTTGGCTTTCTGGGCTGCAAGCACACATTGCTGGCTCATGTTGAGCTTTTTATCAACCAACACCCCCAAGTCCTTCTCCTCAGGGCTGCTCTGAATCCATTTTCCACCCAGCCTGCAGTTGTTTTTGGGATTGCCCCAACCACGATGGCATCCCTTCTCTCCAGCGTGTCAACCATGCCACACAGCTTGGTGTTGTCGGCAAACTTGCTGAGGGTCCACTCGATCCCACTGTCCATGTTGCTGACAAAGGTGTTGAACAGTGCTGGTCTCAATACCAACCCCCAAGGAATGCCACTTGTCTCCAGCTGGACATCAAGCCATTGACTGCAACTCTTTGAGTGCTACTATCCAGCCAATTCCTTATTCACGGAGCGCTCCATCCATCAAATCCATGTCTCTCCAATTTAGAGGCAGGGATGTCGTGCAGGACAGCGTGAAATGTTTTGCACAAGTCCAGGTAGATGACATCAGTTGCTCTTCCCTTGTCCACCAGTGCTGTAACCCCATCATAGAAGGCCACCAAATTTGTCAGGCACAATTTGCCCTTAGTGAAGCCGTGTTGGCTGTCACCAATCACCTCCTTATTTTCCATGTGTTTGAGTGTAATTTCCAGGAGGATCTGATCCGTGATCTTGCAGAGAGGTGAGACTGACCAGCCTGTAGTTCCCCTGGTCTTTTTTCACTTTTTAAAAATGGGGGTTATGTTTCCCATTTTCCAGTCGGTGGGAACTTCACCAGATTGCCATGACTTCTGTAATAAGATGGATAGTGGCATAGCAATTTCATCCACCAGTTCCCTCAGGACCTGTGGATGCATCTCATCAGGTCCCACGGAAATGTGCACCTTCAGGTCCCTTAGACGCTCTTGAACCTGATCTTATGGCAGTGGCTCCTAACCTTGAGGACATGGCCATAAGTGGGCTTTGAAAACGTTTTGTGAGGTTTTTCCATGTAAAAGCTGGTATAATCTTTAATAGCATAAAAATGTGTGGGATTTCTATTTGCAAAAATAGACTATAACGTGTAAGTAGCTCTGTGATTCTATCTGTTGTCTGTGTAGAACTGAGAACCTCAGAACATGAGCATTTTTTTATAAAGTAGATGATGCTTGAGGGGGGCCATTTCCAAACATTTACATATGATAAAATACAAACATTTGGTTTCATCTATTCATGACACTTTTTTTTTTTTTCTAAGAGTTATAACCTAGTGGCAATTTAGGGGGTGAAAGATAAAGCAACCAACGTCTTTACTTTGAGCTGCAAAGGTTCCTGAGATGGAGCTTGCAGTGATTCAAGGAAATAATACTCACTGAACTAATTGGTTGATGCTGTACTTCTAGGTGATAAAACTTTCTGAATATCTTTCTCTAAGACAATCTAGGACTCAGACATACTGTGGAGTGTACATGAAAAATTACTTTTATTTATTCTTCTCTGGGGAGCAGAACAATAATTTGTATTAGCTCAAATTCACCATCCATTTTGACCCAGTTTTGGTTTGAAATTTATCTTTATTGAACCCAAGAATGTGAAATGAAATTGTTGACACAAAGTCAATAATTTATTCATGTTCCCCCACAATCTCCAACCACAGCAGGATTTTTTTATGATCCTTTCTTCCCAGAAATGACTTCATAAACTCTATTTAGTTCAGGCCTTCTGGTCACATATGATGAGTCCAATAACAAATTTTGGCAGATTTCACTTTGTTCAGGGCTAACTGCTTCTTTTTGTCTGCACTATACTCCGATGGGCATTGTCACGCTACCCATTATGCCAGGACAGCAAGGGAACACTTTTTAAGTGTGCTGTTGATAAATGGACTGGTAAAGGAGAGAAAGTACTGAGAAACTTTTGTCTTAGATCATGTCTGTAATGTGCCACAGCCCTGATGCCACGTGCTATAAGAATCAACTTTCCAGCTTTCCACCTATGGAAAACTACCACATCTTGTTTATTTTATTGGATAAATGCGTTTGCCCTGTTTATATGTTTCTCATCAGATCAGCTTAGATTTACGAAGCTCCTCTGTTTATTTAGCAACTGGAGCTTGTGCTGTGAACTTTAATCACTGAACAGAAAACGGGCAGTGTTCCCAGTTACAAGAATTGCTAAAAGGAAATTGCTTTGTTTGAAAAATCTTGTTAGGCAACTGGGCCAGTGCTGCTGTGGGGTGCACCGGGCTCCTTGCGAAGTGCTTTTCTTCCTTTCATCCATTGGTAATTCTCTACAAAGTTGTAGAAAACCTTTGTACTGTAGGAAATTGTTAATCTTACAGCTCCAACTGAATAGTTCTTTCAGGAAAAGAAAATGTGTTTCTTTACCAAATTCAGTGCTCACTGGGAGAGAGGAACAGTCTATTCATCCGAGCGCAGGTTTGGGATTCTAGCAATTTGCTGAACTCTAGTCCCTGTGCTCAATAACACTTTTCCTCTGATCTGAGAGAGGTCATTTGGCTTTTCTGACTCATCGTCTTCTCTGTAATTAGTGAATGGGCAGAACTTGAAGCTTTCTGTGTAATGTATGTTTCATAGGGAATTATTGAAAAAATATTGCAAATCTATGATTTCTGTGGATTATTGTTGCTAACCTGGTTTGTTAAGGCTGATGTGGAAGACAACCAGATGGGCAAGGCCCTTCTATGGCATTTTGTGGGCAGAAAAAAAATAAGAAGTGTGTTCCATAAACTTCAGAATTATGCAAGAGTTGACGTACAGAGAGGTAGGATTGCCCTGCAGAAGTCATAGCAAACATTATCTGCAAACTATATACGGTATCCAAATGTCCGGGATAGCAAGACAAGCCATCTGCTTGCTCTAAACTGCTTCTCTACTCTAATTTTTATGTTTTGAACAAACAGATTAAGAAGTTCTACCCGGAAAGCATTTGACATGGGGAGGATTCATAGTTACATAGTTGTTTTGCTATATTACCTTTAGTATCTACTTTGTACAGCAATAAACACTCAACTTGCACCTGCTGAAATACTTTTCAAATAGAAATTGATCTGGATTTTTTTTTAAAATGTGCAGCAACATCAAATTAACTTGCAACAAACCTCTGTTCTTCAGTGTGGTCTTTTATGTCTGTTGTTGAGCAAAAGAAAAAAAAAGGACATGCAGATAAGCAGAGAGAGACAAAAGAAGAATGAAAAATTAATGTAAGAAGGAAAAACTATTGCTACCATACCATTATTTAGTAAGTACCTCACATCTAGCATTACAGAGATTTAAATAGTTAGGATTTGGGGGTTCTTTTTTTGAATAAGAAGTGGATACCACTGGGAAATGCACAGAATGTAAGTGTGTGCGTAACCTTTGCAGGAAGCTGTTATTTCATGTTGCTTTGCACATCAGGCTCTCAGCCAAGAGCAAGGCTTTGCCTGCCAGTGTCATGGCTGGCTCTCCTCCGCAGAAGGCCAGGAAAGTAGGTTAGCAGGAAGCGGCCTTGGGCTTGTCTCTGAAGCTGTGCTTGGATGTGTGCTTTCACGTGTAGCAAAACACTTTATCCACTATATCGCTGCTCCCCTTCTGGTGATACAAATGCTTAATTGAAAGACAGTATTCTTCAGGCAATAGATGAAGATGATTAAAAACTTAAGCAAAAATGAGACCCTGAGTCATTACAAAAAGCCTTTTGCTCTCTGTCTGCTAAAATATCACCAGCATTTTCCCTCTCACAGAACAAGACATAAGATGATTCAATTATTCGTATTGAAAAAATAATTTCCTCTCAAAGAGTTAGAGGAACTGGGCCATTGTTGCCCATGCAGGTTTCCCATTAACTAATTTTAAAGCTTATTGTGCAGTTTTCAGTTTGCTTAGATGATTAAGAGCAGCTGAAGGACCAATTATTGAAAAGATAATGATGTCAAAAAAAGTTTGCCATTTCCTGAACCATTGAGCACCAGTTTGTTGATGAAATAGTAATTTCTTTTTCTTGAACCTCAAGGCTCTTTTTCCTTTTTTTTTTTTTTTTCATTTAGAAGCTCTTTATTTCTTACCTTAACTTTTCCATTACATTTGGACCCTAGTTGCATTTTTTTCCTTAATATTAAGGGTTCATTTGTCTGCTGTTCTACCTCTTGAAGTTGTTTCTGTGGGCTAAGTTCAAGATCCGTAATTACCTTTTGAGAGTTGCAAACCGGAGAGACCTAAAACAAGCGTACCTGAGATAGCAGTTTGTTTCTTTCAGGATCTATATGTTGCTATGGGAAATAGTCAAATAGTCAAAAATAATGGCTTTTGGGGGGGAGGGGTTTGTGAATGAAAGAGAACTTTTGTTGTAGTTTCTTTTTATTTCATGTAAAGATTTTATTTGAACATGATATATGGTGAAATGATACTATGGAGGTGTCTAAATCATTTTCTAGCTGTTGTTCTGTGTCTTTCAAAAAAAAAAAAAATACAGCAATATGCCACCACCCCTGTTTTATTTTTTTGAAGCCCCACTAAGCAGGAGGCCTGCCTTCCTAATGTCACTGTTCACTCATGATGGTTTTTTAATGTAACAGGGAAGAACGTGCTTATGTTGAGAAATGCTGGAAAGATGTCCGAGTGGGGGATTTTGTGCAGCTGCAGTGTAACGAGACCATCCCAGCCGACATCCTACTGCTGTACTCCTCCGATCAGAACGGGATCTGTCACTTGGAAACTGCCAACCTCGATGGGGAGACCAACCTTAAACAACGACGAGTCGTGATGGGGTTCTCCAGCCAGGTGAGTCTGCTGGAAACGCAGCCCACGCAGCGCAGGGTTGGTGCGGGCCCATTTGCACACCAGCTCCAGCCACGGAGTGCACCAGTTCTGACGGGCTGGTTGTGCTGCTACAGCTGTGAAAGCGTTTTGCTGTTGGAGCTAAGGCCTGCGCGGAAAGCAGCAGTTTGTTCCAAAAGGGACAAAGGCACAGGGATGGCTGTAGAAAAGGAAGATTATCTCAGACAGTAGTTGTTCGCAGCAAAGTGCATCAACAGACGCTTAAGCAACAACGCACGGTACCACCGTTTGGGGCAGCCGGGAGTCTTTCCTGCGTATAAGCCGTCCGTACCCACAGGCTGTCACGGCACACAGCGCATCCCCCAGCAAAGCCACGGCTGCTGGGTGAATTATTTCTGCATGGAAATTGGAAGAGAGCTCACGGCCCCCCTCCCAAAGTGGCCGCAGGCTTCCTGATGGATTGTGCTGCTCTGCTGCCGCTGAGGGACCATCGCGCGTTTGCGAGGCAGGCAGAGCTGCAGCTTTCAGCTAGGAACTGTCCAAGGCACGTAAAGTTGTAATGAAATAACGAATCATTACAGGAGTAATGGATAATAGGATAATTGGATAATAATAGGAGTATAATAAACAATTGAATAGGAACTCAAGGTAAACTAAAACGTGAAAAGTTAAATAGAACTGGTCTATTTGACATCAGTTGGATTGTTAGCAGAGATTCAGTTTGAATCCTTTTCTTTCAGTTTGAATGCATTTTTTTCCACAGGCCGTATCATTTCCTTTTTACAAACACTTTGCTGGTATATTCTCTGGACATCTGTTTGATAAACCTGAAGGAAACAAGAAAATATGACTCGGGGAGAGTTGTACTTGTTACATTTTTAAATATCTTTTCAAACAGAGCAGGGCAGTTTTTCAAATAACACAGGAAAAATTTAAGTTGTAGCACGTGAAGAGAAATATTTTTTTCCATTGGAATCAGCAGGCAGGAACTCTAGAAAGCTGGCAGGTAATTCTAGGAATTACATCCATTTATTTAGCCATTAGTAGGAGTGCCATTAGGAAGAACTTCTGCGGTTATTGGTGCGTGAGACACAGTTGCCAGTGAGCAACCAGATTTATTAAAGTACACTATTTCCATGGCCCGTTGTGGTCAGGTACTCTACTCCAGTGTTACTTTCTTCTTTGTTCAAGTGGAAATCACTTTGCACACAAGCGAGGGCTTTTTCAAGTTGCGGATGCCATAGTACAAAACATACCTTTTCCGGTTCATTCCAGTGAGGATTAGGGAGAGAGTTTTTTCCTAAGAAACACTGAAAATTTTTAATACGTAGAGATTTATGAAAAAAAACCCGAATAAACTCCTTGCTTAAGTAGAAAAAATAAAAATGCTGCATTTGTGTCACATGGTCATAATTTATGTATTAAATTTTGTATTTTTGCTTTTAGAGGAAAAGAGACCGCTCTACTATCATACAAAACACAACCTTTTGCCTCAGTTATTTATAATATGAGGAAGTCGTTCTTTAAATCAGAAAATCCTCACATGCTGAATTATGTTTCAGGTTGCCTACTCGTGGTTATTTTCTTTACAATTTGAGTTATTATTTAGGTAAACCATATGCCCAGAAGTGTTCATACTTACAAAGTCTTGTTACATTGGCGGAGTGGAAGGCGGTTCTGACCGTGGTGATAGCCAGTGCTCAGGAAGGTCGGAGCTTACACAGTCAACTATATTACCCTGTTACTTTAATGTATTGATGTAAACAGTACGGTGGCTAAAAAAAATCCCGGTGTGCTAAATATCACTTGTACAGGTTTTAGTGTGCCATCTTCTTCCTTGTTCTTTGAGCTTTGTTTAGTCCTGTGATTTATGTGCTTCATAAAACTGACTCAGACTTAATTGTGTCTATAAAGTGTGACACTTTAAGGAGGGAGGAAATACATATGAACTGGGGTTAGTTCTTTGTTTAGGATATGCTTAGGAATACTGAGTTCACATACCTGTGAAAGACTGAGAGGAAGGATTTTTTTTTTTTTTTCACTTTTATAACATTTTCTGACTTGAATTTTCAAATGTAAAATTCTTGTCATAAAAAGAAAAAAATTTTGAGAGATGAATCATACTTCTCTACCCCTTTCTAGTTAGAAGCTTATTAGGTTTCTTCATCAGTAATGAGCTCTCGGGTGACTTTTGTCTTCCTGTTCTCCTGTTGTACAAGTATTTCTAGCACAACCAAATATGTACTGATTTTTCTGTTGAGTTTACTGGGTTGAACAAGATTCAGTGGTGAATTGTATTTCTTTTAGAGATTCTAAAAATATTCAGCCACATGGGTCAGAAGGTATACAAATGTGATACATTATTATTTATATATTATTATTTGAATGTGTTTATTCAAATGTGTGGGCTCTTATTTTATTATTATACCATCCTGGCCTGTAACATAACTCTTCTAACATATTTCAAAATCCTGATAAATTCTGAAATTATTTTAATTTGAGCTTGCTTTTGGTTGAAGGTTAGTTTTGTTTCATAAATAATTTGAACTTTTTGTTACATTCACTTTAAACGAAGACAGATGTTTTCACTAATTGGCATCTGATGTCTTGTCCAGTACACAGCATTTTTCTTCATGTAATTTAACCAGTTGTTAATCCAAGAAATGAAAATCTCAGATCTTCACTCAGCCCCTCTGAAGCTTTACTTCAGGCTGAATGAGCTAAACCCCCTCTGCCTCTCCTCGTAGGGCAAGTGCTCCAGCCCCCAACTGTCCTGGTGCCCTATATTTAGCTGTTCTCAGTGTTTAGCACTTCAAGTACTCATTGAATTTGACACTCATTCTCAGTGTGTTTCCTCTTGCAGAATACTTCGTTTGAACCTGAATTTTTCCAAAACACCATCATCTGTGAAATGCCTAACAATGATCTCAATAAATTCAAAGGATACATGTAAGTATTTCTTATCCATAAATGCTTTTTGTATCTGAATTTTAATATTTCTCTTGGAGAAACTGGATGGGCAGAACATATTGTGCAGAAATTGATGGACGTCACTATTATCTATTCCTGGATTCAGAAGTCAATATAAAATGTAGACTGGAATCTGTGTTTTGAGGCAAGGCAGGACCATGGCTTGACGTTGAATTTGCGGTTGTTTCGTACAAACTGTTCTCACAAGGCTTCGGCTCTTTTCAGAATTCAGATATAAGTTCATTTATGTTTGACCTAAGGGTTAGGCTAGGGTAGATTTTAAATCTCAATCCTTCCTAACCTTTAAAGATATTCAGCTGCACCGCTCTAGTTTCTTCATACTTATGGCCCCAGCAAAAAGATATCCAGGATCTAATAAACAAATCAGATTGTGTTCTTACAGCTAGAAAAAGCAAGCAAGGGAGAACAACCCTACTGAACCAATGTGTTGGGCTAGTATAAAAAAAGTGAGCTTTTTTGTTTGTTTTTAGTGTAAACCTATGTATGTGAGGAAAAAGCCACATCCTCTGTTCCTTATGTTCTTTCTTCATTAAATAATTCTGACACAGGTGTAACAAGGAAATCTATACTAGCAAATTCAGCAGATTTAAGCCCATTCCCTGGCTATAAGGCCAATTTGTATGGCATGGCTCATGTTGTAAACTCCTCTTACCCTCAAATACAGGGCAGCTGTTTCCCAAGGCCCTCTTCAGAGCAGTTGGTCCACGCTGATGCCCACACCCCAGCAGAGAATTGTTTGAAACGCCCGCTGCCCCAGACCAAGTGCATGCCCATGCATATAACCATATGTTATGCAAATAATTTAACTGTATGACTGTGCCAGCATCCCTGTCCATGCCCCAGCTTTGTTAAGTTTGCGAGGAGTTAATGTCTCTGCA